TTGATGTGAGTATATAATAAATTGAGCTCAATTATTGTACGTACCTGGTGCATTACGTTGGAGAATTTACTGTACTTACACGATGTTTTATGTTGGGAAAGAGATCATCTCCAGATCTCTTCCATCACAATCGCCTGATAAAGTGATTTTAGCCTTTCAAATTTCATTCAATTGCTAAAAATTATCACAGCTTTTAAAGGGTTAAAATAGGTGGGTCGTTAGATGAAATTTGGAAGGTCCGAATAACTTAATTCGGTAACCTTGATGAAAGAGATTCGGAGAGGATCATTTTCCTTTTATGTTGGATGCAAATACGAAAATTAAATTTGTTTTTATGTGAACACGCGTCAATGCCAACAATACATCCTTTTTTTTTTTTAATCCAATCCAACAATACATCCATGTTTGATTGTTTGGGATGAAAAAATATGTAATTAAATCCCACCGCCCAACAAAGAGAGAAAACACAAATAGATTTCAGGGTTTCTATGTGAATGTGAACCTAATGCCGACAAAACATTAATAATTGATTGTTTAGGATGATGAATACGAGAAATTTTTAAGTGTGACCAGAATATGAGTAGTATACCACATATTTTTATATAAGTGGTGAGAAATTTTATTTTTTAAGTTATTAATTTTTTAACACACATATTCCACAATTTGTATAATGATACGTGGTGTATCACCTCGTGTACCGATCACACTAAAAAATCTCTGGACGAATACGGAGGTGGACCCACTGCCCAACAAGGAGATGAAACACAAATAGTTTTAGGTTTCTACGTAAATGCTCGCTAAAAGCCAACAAAACATTAATCTTTGATTGTATGAGATGATGAATATGGAGGTGGATCCACCACCTAACAAAGAGATGAAACACAAATAGTTTTTAGTGTTTCTACATAAACGCACATCAAACACCAACAAAACATTAATCTTTGATTGAATGAGATGACGAATATGGAGGTGGATCCACCACCTAACAAAGAGATGAAACACAAATAGGCTTTAGGGTTTCTACATAAATGTGCATCAAACGCCAATAAAACATTAATCTTTGATTGTATGGGATGATGAATATGGAGGTGGATCCTACCGCCCAACAAAGAGAGGAAACACAAATAGTTTTCAGGTATTTACGTGAGCGACGCTAACAAAACATTAATCTTTAATTGTTTGAGATGACAAATATAGAGGTTGACCCCACCGCTCAACAAAGAACACAAACAATTTTTGGGTAATGTTTAGGGATGGGTAATGGTTATGGTGGGCGGGTAACTGCGGTTATTTACCCATAACCGTTTATATTCATACCTGCATAACTGTTTACTCGTTGGGTAATTGCATAAACAGTTATACTCATACCCATAACCGTTTATAAACAATTAACTATACACATTTAATCATAACTGTTTATCCATTTAACTATAACAATTTACCCCGTTTATCATTTTTTTACCCATTTTTCACTCGTCTACATGTTTTTTTTTTATTTTAACAACTTGAAAATTACAAAAGAAAAATTTGTCATAATTTTCGTTTTCTGACAATTAAACACTGTTATAAGTACATTTTAGCATGCATTTCCCTATTTTAATCATTTAGTCCTCATACAATTTCAATAATTGAAATAATAGCTTATGAGTAGTCATTATCTTGAATACTAGATGATTCAAAGCTCCAAAATATTCCAAAACTAAACACTTTCGAATACTAATGTTTTAGCACGTTCAATCACAAAGTATCATCGACTCGTTGTCACCAAAAAAGGCATACAAAAGAAATGTACAAATTGAATTAGTATCGCATTTAGGAACACCGACACCAATTAGCATGGATCCAACAGAGGTAAGTGATCACAAAAGGTTTACATTGTACACTCAATTATCAAAAAAAAAAAAAAGGCAAACAAAAGCGATCCTTAGTTATTCTCCTCTCTAATATATATATCTCTTAGCACTTACAAAGGGAAGGTCCTGATGATCGTCAACGTTGCATCGCAGTGGTACACAATATCTTTTATTTTCTTTTTGAGATCTTAGCATCTACAAAGGGAAGGTCCTGATGATCGTCAATGTCGCATCGCAGTGGTGCACAATATCTTATATTTTCTTTCTGAGTGTACAATATATATATATATATATATATATATATATATATATATTAAATGGGTAAATGGAAACATGTTATAACCGCGGGTAATACCCATAACCGTCCATTTAAATTTCACGGATAAACAATTATACTCATAACCGTTTGTTGGTCTAAATGGTTACCCATAATCGTAACCGTGAACTTTAAATGGGTAGGTAACTGCGGTTACCCAAACACATGGGTATTTTACTCATCTCTACTCCCTAGTAAAGCTAGATAGACTAAAATTTTAAATTAAATTTGCAAATTAAATATTGTGTAACCAATAAGAAATAAACATGTTAATTAACACTCAAGTAATCATCCAATCATCGACAATCACATTATTTAATGTACAAAACTTAACCTCTTTAGCATTCCTTATAAATTTTTGGGTTTTTACTTGAACGCGCTTAATGCCCATAAAACATCAATTTTTTATTGATTGAGATGACAAATATGGAAGTAGATTCTACCAGCCAACAGATAGAGCGCAAACACAAACAGTTTCGCATTAGTTTTTTCCATGAGTTCCATGAGTATCATACAAATCCCGTACGTATGAACTTAGTGTCGAATCTCGAAGGCCTTTCCAACTCAATGCAAATAGATAAGCCCCTAAGCTTCGCAACCATTGGTTGGCAGATTGTGGCCGTAAAAGTTGGAAATAAGCACTTCTAAAGTTCGGATCCAGATCCTACCTGGATCTAAGGATCCTGAGCCTATAGATCAATTGATCTAGTCCGTTGAAATTTGATCCAACGATTACAAATAAAAATTTCATTAAACGTTATAATAATTGTAGACATTGAATTAAATTTTAACAGACTGAATCAATTGATCTCTGAGATCAGGATCCTTAGATCCGGAGAGGATCTGGATCCCTAAAGTTCTGCTTTTACTGGCCAAGTCAAAAAAATTAGGGTCGTATTCGTAATGGCAGGCCAACTGCCAAAGTAGACTTTCATTCCGCCATGATTTGATTGCACCCATTGGGTGTAGAGTAATGGACAAGGATTGTCCTAGAGTAATTGCTTCCCTCTGTGTCATCTGTCAAGCTCACTACTCCATCAATCAGCCAACGCATAGCTTGTTTGTGCTACTCACCAAAGGATTTTTGTTTTTAAACAATAATATATGATTAGCCCTTTATTATTTCATAATTTTAACGAAAAACTTATAAGGTAATTCATTTTAACGAAAAATTATATATTTATTTTAAAAAAGTTATCATAATATTATTCACTTACAACATATTTTTAATATTTTCGTTAAAACTCAAAGTTTTCAAATTATTTCATTCATTTTCCTTCTATTATTATTTCTCTAACAGAGAAATAAGAAAGAATAATAGAGCACGTGAGTGTGAATAAATTTTTTATTGTGTTCAAAATATGGATGGTACACGTATTATTATATAAATAATAAAAAAGTTTAAATTTTTAATACAAGTATCTCACAATTTAAATAACTAGTTATACATATTTTTTTACCAATTTCATATTTTGGAGACACAGATTTACCCGCCGATACTGCTGCAACGAATGAGGCGTGCACACGTAACAAGGCAGATTCCTTTCAAACTTTCTACCCTCCTTGAATATTAGAATGAGCATCATTTTCGGATTCTTTTTGTGTGGATCTCATAGATCATCTAATTACGTCTGTTTGTAATATACCGTGTAAATAATTTTTATCAAGTATAATTTATTTAATTTTAAATAAAAAAATTATAATAATTTCTAATAGCACAATGAACAGGCATGATTAGAAGATTTTCGGAATTCTTACGAAAAGAATCCAAAGAGAATCCTCATTCGAATATTGAAAACTGTCACTGTATATTTAATTATTTATTCTCTCCCAAACCCAGACACGGACAGGTGCCCAAGTCAACGAAAATGGCTTGAATTTTGAGACTATTTGGCGCTGTACTAATTCTTCTTACCCCTCGACTTCCAAAACCCTACTGCATCTGCATGCAAGAGAAAGACGAGCCTTTAACTTTATTGAATCGACTTTTGATGCTCGCGTCCTGCATCTGCATGTTATAAGGTTGCACTAAAATATTGGTGGTTTGATGGTGATGGCTTAATTAGCTTGCCTAGATGCTGCATGAGGTGAGAGATGGTGATCAAGTGTGGAGGATATTGGTTGTTTAAGAAGAGAGAATATGAAAAACCTACGTACCTACTAAGAATATACATAAAAACTAATATTTGAGTAATGTTCCACCAGGTAGTTTCTATAAAACCTAAAAAGATTAATATTAGAGACATTATAATAAATTTCAAAATTTATCTTAGATTATAACAGGTATTATATTGACTCATATTGACATTTAAATCTGAAACTTAACAACTTACCGATTCATAATAAAGTTTTATTTTTTAACAAAAAGTTTACCAACCCATTTGAGTGAGAAGATCAACACAAAATTATACCAATAAAAGAAAATAATTGAATCCTCTCACTTCTTGGAGTCTATTTTTAGCCTCTTTTTTCTTTTTCTTTTTTGGATATTATAATGGGTGTGGACTAAGTTTCATAATAGATTAGTAATAATATGATCAAACTTGCATTTTTCAATAATTGAACCAAAGATCTGTTACTTATCAAATAAGAGAAATACCATTAAACCGTAATATTAAATAACTATTTTTAACCTTTTTAGGGATTATATTTGATTCAATCGATGACAAGTTGATTATTGAGAACCCACTTCATTCTTTAATTATCGATCATGCCATGTGAAATTGAATCCCAAACTCCATAGTCAATCCCTAAAACACAACTTGACTATATCAGGAGTGATTAAGACTTGTGAGAGGAGGAATCTCTCTTACCCAGTCACGAAGGAAGCTCAATAGTCAATGGCAATTACACAACTTGTTCTTATCTAATTCCAAATTCCTTGGCATTTGGGGATCTCAAAGCCCACACTTCCAGCCAAGCACTAACCTCCACGTACCTTAATCAATTCCAACTTCTCCTCTGCATCTTACAGCGGCAGTGAAAGGGTGAGACTCGGCGGATTCACAGAGTTTCCAACTCCAAAAACCCAAAACTCTTGCCTTTTCGAGGCCTAGAGAAGTCGAGCTTGATACTATTTATAAGTAACATCCAAATTCACAACAAAAAAACAAAAGTTGCAATCCTTTTGTATGTATCTGGCAGTCCGGCATCATCAGACGGCCGCTAACGGTTGCAGCATTTGAAGTTTCGAGTTTGATCAAACCAACGCTCGAATCATCGGAAAAATGGAAGTAGAGAGCAGAGTCATGGAACCCGGGTCTCCGAAATTCGCGCTGCCGGTGGACTCAGACCACAAGGCCACAGAGTTCAGATTGTTCTCGATTGCCAAACCCCACATGCGGGCGTTCCACCTGTCTTGGTTTTCCTTTTTCCTTTGTTTTGTGTCCAGCTTTGCTGCTCCGCCGCTTATCCCCATCATCCGCGACAACCTCAACCTAACCGCCAGCGACATCGGCAATGCCGGGATTGCGTCTGTGTCCGGCGCTGTGTTCGCCCGAATAGCCATGGGGACAGCGTGCGACTTGTTCGGTCCGCGGCTTGCCTCCGCCACACTCATCCTCCTCACTGCCCCTGCAGTCTACTTCACTGCAATTGCGTCGTCCCCCATGTCTTTCCTCCTCGTCCGCTTCTTCACCGGCTTCTCTCTCGCCACCTTCGTCTCGACCCAGTTCTGGATGAGCTCCATGTTCTCTCCCCCCGTAGTAGGCACCGCCAACGGCGTCGCGGGCGGGTGGGGAAACTTGGGGGGCGGAGCAACGCAACTCATCATGCCGGTAGTGTTCGGCTTCATCAGGGACATCGGCGCCGTCAAGTTCACAGCTTGGAGAATCGCGTTTTTCATCCCTGCCCTGTTTCAGACACTGTCAGCATTCGCCATCCTGATATTCGGACAGGACATGCCGGACGGAAACTTCTACGGCCTCCATAAATCCGGCGAAAAGCCCAAAGACAAATTCTCGAGCGTGTTCTACCACGGCGTCACGAATTACAGAGGTTGGATTCTGGCATTGACGTACGGATATTGCTTTGGGGTGGAGCTAGCGGTGGACAACATCATAGCGGAATATTTCTACGACAGGTTCGATCTGAAACTCCACACGGCCGGGATGATCGCGGCGAGTTTCGGGTTGGCGAATATTGTTTCAAGGCCCGGAGGTGGGATTCTGTCGGATGTTGTGGCGAAGAAGTTTGGGATGAGGGGGAGGCTGTGGACTCTGTGGGTGGTGCAGACCACGGGAGGTGTTTTGTGTGTGATTCTTGGGCGGGTGAATTCTTTGGTTGGATCCATAGTTGTCATGATTTTGTTCTCCGTGTTCGTCCAAGGTGCTTGTGGGCTTACATTTGGTGTGGTTCCATTTGTCTCTAGAAGGTGTGTTCTTTTCACAATGACTTTTTAATTCTTGTGTTGTTCGAGCGGTATTATAATCTAATCTTGGTTACGAAGACATCGTGATTCAAATTTGAGTGCAGAAAAGAGAGGATAAAATGTCATAGCCAAGTTAGCCACACCCATATGGCTAGTTAACCTCAACCTCATTTTTTCTCTCGATCTTATCTTTCCTGATTCATTACTTACATTATCCTTACTAGTGAAACTATACAAACTTTCAGTCTTTCACATATGATAGTGGATGTTTTTATGTTTAAAGAGATAGATTCTGATGTGTAACCGGAGATATATATTCCGATTCTATATGAGAATCTCCATGAATTTTGACCTTGACCTAAACCATTGTGTTGCTACCCCTTATTATCTTACCCTAATCACATTTTCATCCATTTCTCTTGGTTTTAATCCCTATTTTCAGGTCATTGGGGGTCATATCTGGAATGACAGGAGGTGGTGGAAATGTGGGTGCAGTTCTGACCCAACTGATATTCTTCAAAGGATCAAAATATTCAAAAGAAACAGGAATAACCCTAATGGGGATCATGATCATATGTTGCACCCTCCCGATGACTTTGATCTATTTTCCCCAGTGGGGTGGCATGTTTTGTGGTCCATCTAAGAACAAGGCCACAGAGGAAGACTATTACATGTCTGAGTGGAGCTCCAAGGAGAAGGAGAAAGGCTTTCACCAGGCAAGTGTGAAATTTGCTGAGAACAGCAGAAGTGAAAGAGGAAAATCAGACTCTGTTACCCGACCCTCTGATGAGATTTCACCGCCGCATGTTTGATTTACTGCATGCCATCGTTAATGATCTCAAGTTGGGAATTCAAAATTTATGTGTGTATACCTATTAAATTGTTCAAATATGTACTGTTTTAGTATATAAGTAAATTAGTAGTTTCGATTACGTGCCATTGTGCCAGTATTTGTTACAAGCAAGGAAAATTTATCTAATTAAGTATAGTTTTATTTAGTTAGAAATCTTCTGTGCCGGATATCTGTCTTTTCATAATTGACATCTATATATTGGCGTGTTATGTAATAATATTATCAATGATTTATTTATACAATATTTATGATTCTAATACAGTAAATACTAGTACATGGTAAAAAATCTCAAAAGCTTAAGGGAAGAGAAGTTGGAGTCTAATAAAAGGAGCCACAATTATGCACCAAACAACTTGATAATGAGTGGAACTATACATACGAGAAATACTAAAGAAACTCTCTTAAAATAGGATTATTCGTGAACTCTCCGTCATCTTATATTTTTTGTACCATGTTATATAACTGTAAGAGAGTTACCAAACTTATCTTATATTACATATAATAATGTTAGTACGAAAATTATGTTAAAAGTATTAAGTAATGAAAAGTCCATAGAATATCCAATTTTTAAGAAAATCCCGTTTCCATAGTATTTCTCTAAAAATAGTGATGTTGATTTGACACGAAAATTACGTAGCTCAACCTCATCAAAAGCATAAACAAGTAGGGACTGTTTGATCCTTAATCCTTCGTCTTTCTTAAACTTTATCTTTATCTTTTTCTTCCAACGGCCTTCAATTGGATGGGCTTGATAAAGCAACTTTTTCTTCCAACAAACTTTTTGGTTTTGGGCTTGCGAAACCAAATACAAGCTTGACCACTATGGGCTACGGAAACAGGCTTCTTCAAATTGGGCCTCTGACAATGATTGGGCCTCCGATACGATACATCGTATCGATCCCTTTCACTACTTCGACAAGTCGCATCTCCAAAGTCCGTATCCGACAATGTACGATCCACATGGGCCCCACAATTGGTTGTAGAATCGCCAAGGCTGAAAGCTCTTTTGGCCTCAACCAAAAAGCCGGCGTTTCGTTTTTATGGTGGGGTGCCTGGTTCCGTGCGCTGGTAGATCTCACGTGCAAATGCTGAGTACTTGACTTGCCATGACTTTTGAAAGAATAAAATATTTTGCATCCTTTGAAGTATTTGAAGGGGATGCATCTAATTGAGAATTTGAAACAAAATTTTAGAATTTATTCAAACAGTTCTAACCTATAAATTTTGGCATGAAAATTCCAACGCTAGCACTTGGACCAAGAAAATTCCAACTTTGAAACTTCAGCAAGGCAAAAATCAACATTGAAATTTTAGACCATGGGGTTGTTTGGTGGAATATTCATTGCCTTACTCTCAGACTTTGACTTTTCTCCAACCTGTAGAACAAGACATTAGCGACTAACTATTAAATGTAATTAGAATACGGCTACCCAAGTAGAGGTAAATTTATTTGAGATTACAATGTGAAATTATGTAAGATCTCTCTGTAACTTCACAGTTTAATGTTAATTTTTGTGTTAATATTATAAAATATTGTGCAAAAAATTTGAGGTGACATATAATCTATAAAGAGTCTCACTTTTGAGATAATCTCCTTAGTATTTCTCTTAAAAATATAAATATATGTATATATATATATATGTTCTAATATAAGAGTCTAATTTAATGATACATTTACCAATCCTTAAAAATCAGAAACCATGAATTATAGAAACCACCCCAACCCAAGGAGTCCAATTCTTTAAGAATCAAGAGTTGAACTCCAACTATTGTATGTATCTGAAAATCTCACATATATTTTTGTCACATAACACATGAGTAACATATAATTGAAACTCAATTCTTAATGATTACGAACCAGTAAACTTACCCTAAATATCAAAAATATATATGCAAAATATGACTTTCATTTCAATTACCGACAAAATAGCAGGTTTAAAGCTTGCAATAGTCTATTGATATTATTCTTTACTTGGAAATGAGAGGCAAATTTATTAATGTATCCTATTGTCATTTTCACTCGACAAAGCTCCTATAACTAGGGGTGAAGGCAAAAAGTTAGTTCACTGAGGGCACAACAAGTAGCAAGACTCTATTTTTGTTGGAACAATAGCATGCGCAAAGAAAAAAAAATTTCCCAATTTTTACAGTGAGACATTTCGTGGAGTACTTGATCGATCCTTATCATTATGTGCTTGCCTACATTTCCGCCCTTTAGTGCGCTTTTAATTATTTCTTTAGGAATAAAATAAAGAATTAAATCATATAGGTAAAGGATCGGAAGATGATCGATAGGAGGGCGAGTCAACGAGTCTTTTATTGTTTAAAGAAAAAATGACTAACTTGAAACTTATTCTAAAAAACTGGTGTCGTTTCACTGAAAATATGTATGTTTTCGACATCATTTTCCAGTTTCCGAATTCAGAAGACGACCACATTACCACAACATTTTCTTGAATTCCAAGCACCCCATTAACACATACCATTCAATCCAACCATTTTTCGACAACTTTGTACCGAATCAAACTCCAACATGTCCAATTTTATCTTACTTCTGCTCCTTCCTCTGTTTTTGTTTCTAAAGAGCGCTCGTTCTGACCCGAGAGCCACACAGGCAGCCTTGATATGCAGAAACGACACCATTCAGATCCCAGAACGTCAAACCTTCATCTCCAACTTCTTAGCAGCCATGAACGCCGTCACCCCACAGATTGCCACCCGAAGATACGCCAGCGTCGTCACCGGAACCGGAAACGTAACCGTTTTCGCCTTCGGCGAGTGCATGAAAGACGTCTCCAAAACGGACTGCGACCAGTGCTTCGCCCAGTGCAAAATCAAGATTTTAGGGTGCCTCCAATTTGTGAAAGCAACTCGCGGGGGCCGGCTTTTCTTCGACGGCTGCTACCTCCGGCACGATGATTTCGATTTCTTCAACCAGAGCTTGAGTTCCGAAGACAGGACCGTTTGTGGGGACAGAGATTTTGGTCGGAATCGGACAGTTTTTAAGGATAATGCTTTGAGGTTGGTGAGGAATTTGAGTTCGTTGGCGCCGAGGAATGATGGGTTTTCTGCTGGGTTTGTGGTGGGTGAAGGGAACGTTTCGGTTTACGGGTTGGCGCAGTGTTGGGAGTTTGTGAAGGGGCCTGGTTGCGAGGAGTGTTTGGCTGACGCCGTTAAGAGAATCGGATCTTGCACTCCGAAAGAAGAAGGGAGGGCTTTGAATGCTGGGTGTTATTTGAGGTATTCGACTCAGAAGTTTTATGATAACAATACAGTCACTGATGATGCAGGACGAAATGGAGGTTAGTTTTTTTTTTTTTTTTTTTTTTTTTTTTTTGACAATTTGGATGCGTTCTTTGGCTATCAATATGTTTTTATCAAAATCTTGTTTGTTTTTAGTTTTTGATCGAAATCTCTCACCTTAATATAATAGTATAAGTTACTATAATTTTTAAATTAAAAATTGTATTTGTTTATATTAATGAGATTTTAAATATAACCCATAATTTGTGAGATTAAAAATAATAAAATATAAATTATAATCTCTATTATATTGCGCGTGTCTGTGGGTATATGGGTACATTTATCAAATTTTAACAAAAAAAAAATATTGTACCAAAACATGGATACATTTTTCAAAAAAAAAAAAACATATTAGGCTTAATAATATTAGTAAATTGCTTCGATTAAACTTGATGTAGATACATTCTCAAATCAACAAAAAAAGAATATAGCCATATAAGTTTAAAGATTGATTAAAACTTTTTGAATGGATTTTATATTAAAATTTTGGGTAAATTTTATATAACAAATTTGTACATTTTACATATAACAAATTGGTATATTTAAGAATGAGTACATTTAAGATTAAAACAAATTAAAAATTATATGAATGGGTACATTTAAGATTAAAAAATTAAGAATCTTTTTATAAAAACTAATGGGTACGAACTTATTCTAATTTAATTTTTTTTTTATTTTGAAAATGTTTGAATTGAAAATTAATTAGGAGTTTAATAGAGGTGTGAGTATTAAAATCCTAAATCAATTACTAATTTTTATTTAAAAAAAATATTTAATAAATATGTAAAATTCATTATCACATTAATACTAGAGACTTCAATCAAAATTTGAAAACTAATAAGGTATCAGTCAATGAACGTTAGTACCTAAGGAACGAATACTAATTTTTTTTTTATTCGAGCGATATTCTAATATAATCTAAACTCCGGTTATGCGGGACGGACTGCTCTGGTTTGGTTTACTTGATCTTTGTACATTTTCTTGGTTACCGTCCAAGAATATTTGATGAAGTTCAAAATTTTCGTAGTTTGGATTCAAATTTCGGACCATCTGATTCGACTTTAGAGTTCCATGTGATGAGTGGTGATGATTTGTTTCTTAAAGTAGGAAACTTGACATTGTGTGGACTTGTAAATTTTGGTTTTGTGTTGTTAACTAAATGCTGCAATCTGTTCTTGAGTGATAATGAATAGAATTTTACGGCTTAATTTTCATTGTATTACATAATTGAAATATATACACATACAATCCTTATTCCACAAGAAAACAATAAAGGACACAAACATATATCCTTCCTAATAAAAAACTCCTAATATTTACACAGTATTTACATACCCTTTTAATACTAACTCACGTTTACATCATATGCAAATTGTTTGACAGGACGCCGCAGCTTGGCAATAATTTTGGCTGTAACATTTGCTGTTGTGCTGACTATTTCTGCGGTTGCTTTCTTTGCAAGGAAGAAATACTGACGAGGAGGAAAGGTACCAGAGTTTTGGTTTGAAACTCTGTTTAGATTCTTCTATCTTTAAGCACTGGATTAAATTTTTCTGTTCTTGTTTTAATTTCACAGCTGCTTCGGAGAAAAAGCAATTCGGAGCTCTGTTTGCCACTGTGAATAAGTCCCAACTCAATTTTTCATACGAAGTTCTCGAGAAGGCCACCAATTACTTTCATGATGCCAACAAGCTTGGACAAGGAGGATCTGGCTCAGTGTATAAGGTAATTTCTCCCTTCGTTCTGCGTAGGCATCAGATTTCATTATATGGAATTAACTTGGGAATTTCATTTCTTTTACACACAGGGAGTTCTGCCGGATGGAAATGTTGTTGCCATAAAGAGGCTGTTCTTCAACGCAAGGCAATGGGTGGATCATTTCTTCAACGAAGTTAATTTGATCAGCGGAATTCATCATAAAAATCTTTTAAAGCTGTTG